TGGCACTTCATATTCTCATTCAATCCTTAAAATAAATCTGGGACACTGGTTTTGTTAGCATCATTTTACGGAGAAATAAACTGAGATATATACAGGTAAAGTAACATAATGTGATGCAGGAAGGGTTAAATACATAAAAAAAAAACAAATAACTCCAATGTTAAACTGTCTCTATGTTGCTTCTTCTATAACTGAATACACTGCTGGATTTTTCCTATCAGGTTAACTGTAGAAGTACAAGAGTGATTCAGCTCTTAGATCCAGCTCTTAATTCTCATCTGTATGCAACTTCAGAAATCAAGTGGATGAATTTTTAACCAGATAAATTTTATTTTGTTCCATATTCATCAACTCTAATCTGATCTAGGACCTGCCACCTGAAAAACAAAACAAAACAAAAACTAGCCTTTAATCACAAAGAAGACTTTCACTGAATGAAAATAACTCAAAAGGTAATACTCAAAATACTTGAAAAGCTGTTTGGTGGCATCTGCTACACCCTAGTATATACATGCCCTAATCCAGCAATTCCACTCCCAGATGTGTACCTACAGAAGTACATTTGAATGCTTATCAAAAGGCAAGTTCAAGATGTTCATAGCAACATTATTTATAATAATTCTAATCTAGAAACAACCCAAATGCCCATCAACAATACAATGGAAGAATGGATACATGGTAATATAATCCATACAATGGAACAAATGAACCATGTCTAGATGCAACTATTACATGGATGAGTCTCACAAACATAATGATAAATGAAAAACCTGGATGAAAAGAGTTCATATTGTATTATTGTATTACTCTTTATTTTTTTTTTTAAGATTTTTTTTTTATTTATTCATAGAGACACAGAGAGAGAGAGAGGCAGAGACGCAGGCAGAGGGAGAAGCAGGCTCCATGCAGGGAGCCCGACGTGGGACTCAATCCAGGGTCTCCAGGATCACGCCCTGGGCCGCAGGCGGCGTTAAACCGCTGTGCCACCGGGGCTGCCCTGTATTACTCTTTAAATAAAGTTTGAAAGCAATAAAAACTAAGCTATAGTGCTAGAAGTCAGGACAGTGATTACTCCTCAGAGAGGTAGGGAACGCAGGGGCAGTGAAGGGGAGGAGGGCTTCTGAAATGCAGGCAGTGTTTTCCTTTTTTTTTTTTTTAATCTGGCTGCTTGTTACATAAATTATGTTCACTTTATGAAAATTCATCAATGTTTTGCACTAATTTTTGCAAATTTTCTTTTAATCTGTTACACTTTAACAAAAAGTTCTTTTAAAAAGGCAATGTTCTATTCTTAGTGGGTTAAGAGCACAATATTTATACTATAATTGTTAATACTTCTATCCTTTTTCTTATCTCTCCACATACAATAAATAAAACACAGATTTTGGTTTTTTATATAAATTTAATTTCAATTATTGGCTAGATGATCATTTTTCAAAAGTTCCATCTATCTCAGTATAATAAATTTTTTTTTTCCCAAACTCTAGTTTAAAATCCTGTTGTTGGGGTGCCTGGGTGGCTCAGTTGGTTAAGTGTCTGACTCTTGATTTTGGCTCAGGTCATGATCTCAGGGTGATGAGACTGAACTCCACCTCAAGCTGCAGAGAGCCTGCTTAAGATTCTCTCTCTCTCTCTTCCTCTGCCCCTCTCCCACCATGCACTCAGATGCCACTTTCTCTCTCTTTCTATAAAAAGAATCCTATTGTCATTGTCCTCACTAAATAAGGGAATTAATCTGAGTTACCATATATTCAGGCTTATACAAACATTCTAAATAAAATTGTTAACCAGGAGTTTTTGATTCAGACTATATTGCCAAAGTGTACTGAAGTTCTTCCCAAATTTTCTGCTACTAAATTAACTTCACATTTTTTACCTTTGAATGAATGAAAAAATCCTTAAAAGCATATAAGCTTAGAAAAGCATGAGAGGATGATATGCTTTCTACAAGTCTCCAGCTCAACATCTTTCTCACTTTGCAATAGGACTGATCTCTGAGCAAAAGACTGATTTTTTTGTTGTTTAGTTTTTGAAGGTTTTTTGGTCAAAATGATCAATTTTTAAAAATCAACTTTTCCATCTGAGAATTTCTTAGCATTCTATTTGTAACTAAATATTAATTCATAACCATGAATATTTGAATCGTTTTCTAAAAAAGAGAATATGACAAAAACAGATACCTATAGATGTTTCTATTTAAGACTATGTTATCATTTCTTCTTTTAGAATATTTTACCACATATGAAAGAAGAGCTTTGATATAAATATTTTATTAACTACAAGAAGGAAAGTGGCAAAGAAAAAACACAGGCAGGAAATAAAAGTTTATCTAAAAATTTCCTTTGCAAAATAATCCTCTGACAAAGATGAGTTAGTGGAAAGAATGAATATCCTGATACTGTTCCCAATAAAGTTTATTTTTAACTGTTAAGGGATGTTATTATTTATTTCCCGGGTTACCATGATCTTGTGATTACAACTTACTCCATGTTTTGGGAAGCTATGCAACTTCCTTAAACAGCTACAGAGTACAGATTTAAGGGAAGGGAAAGTAGTATCTATGATGCTCTTATTAATTTTAATAAACATTAAGATCTTTCGAACATTGTAATTATAAATCACAGCTGGTAAGTGATAACACTTATAAATTTTCTTCTCCCTCCCATAAATGTTGCTAATTTTATTAGCATGTATTAGAAATTCAAGTATCTTTAAAATAAATTTCCTGAGAAATTATGAATCTGGGTTCCAGAAGACCCACTGACAATGCTCCAGTGTCAGGTATGGAATCATTCAGATAAAGATGATTTTAGAAAGTCATTACTCCAGTGAACTAGAGGATAGTGTTACTATTCTGCCAAAAGACACCAAGAAATTCAATTCAACTGGTGTGAGCAATTAATTTCATTCTCTTTTCTATAATAAACATTATAAAACTAATCTAGTATGAAAGTAGATAATCTCTTTCAGCAAAAAATATGAAGCTCCTACTATAAATAAAATTGTTAAAATGTCATACCCTTACTTTCCTATTTTTTAAATAAATACCATGAAATACCAAACTCAGCACAGTATTCAGTGAATAGGACCTATGAATATTTATTTATCAAAAATAAATTTTAGTATTACTTTAAGATCACAGAAGTCAAAGATATAAATCTGGTTTTTACTTTCAGAGAGTACTGCACTAAATTTGAGGAGTCAGAACTGTTCATCATATCAGTTTGGATAATCAGGCAAAGTAGAATTTTTAGTACAAATGTCTAAATTTGTGTATAACGTGGTAACACCATTTTGAAACGAATAAAGTTTTAGCTCCTAAATCTGTATTCTTCATTTAGGTTAAATTTAGATATCCATTTTAGAAACTAATTTGTAAGTAAAACAAATAGGTGAGTCACTGTGTTATCAATCAGGTTTGCCAGCGCTTCTATATTCAGAATTGGGAAACTCATTCTGTGACCCTCAGCAAATCGCTCAACTTTTCTTTATCAAAGTATGTCACAAATGAGGGCACATGGGTGGCTCATAGGTTAAGAGTCCAACTCTTGATTTTGACTCAGGTCATGATCTGAGGGTGGTGAGATCAAGCCCTGCCTCCGGCTCTCCCTCAGCAGGGAGTCTGCTTGAGATTCTCTCCCTCTGGCCCTACCTCTACCCATGCTCTCTCTCAAATAAAATAAATAAATCTTTTTAAAAAACATGTTACAAATGTTTTAAAATCTTACACCTTTACAAAATGCTCTGCAACTTTCAAGTACTGTGCAACTTCCAACTAGAACCTCTGAAGAGCAAAATTCAACTATGGTTGCATATGAAATGGTTACTGCTGTGGTAGACTGAAAAATAACAGTTATGCTTTGTACAGCTTATGCATTTTATCTTTTAAAATCTTTTTATAAATATTTGATTAAATTTGATTAATATAATTGAAATGGTTAGACTTTTAATAAAGGAAACTTTGTATGAATAGAAATGTAGTAATACAAAACTGTTTAGATTATATTAGGCTTATATTTTTTACTACTCCAGCTTTCTAATGTAAGACAGCTATAATTTACATACATTTATATTTCAAATAAAAAAATTCTCATCTAAAAACTTTCGTATCACTGCTAAGACTGTTGAACATTTTGATTGGCAGCATATAATATATGCATGCATAATGTTGCTTATTTCTTTAAAAGAGTAAAATGAATAAATGTAGCCATATAAGGAAACTAAAAGTAATAAATGAAACAAATCAGATACCTAAGAAATTTGCAAACTAATTTTTGAAATATTCTATGGAAATATATGGTATAGAAGCTTTAGTGCATAACTTTACTATTATCTGGTAGGAGTCCCAAACATCATGTGCAATGGAAATATGAATTAAGGATTAAATTACTATATAATTAGAAAACAAACTTAGTGGTTACCAGAGGGGATGGGTGGAGGGATGGGTAAAATAGGGATAGGATTAAGGAGAGGAGTGCACTTGTTGTGAGAAGTGGTAGGTGATGTATGGAGTTACTGAATAACTATATTGCACACCTGAAACTAATATAACACTGTATGTTAACTAAACTGGAGTTTAAAATAAAATAAAATATAAATTACTATGCAATTTTCATTTCTATTCACTCTTGGGGTGTAATTGCATTACTATTAAAAACATCTGATTTTGAATTCATTTATATAACTTTAAAGGTCCTTTATCCTTTATATTAGTAATACATTATTACACAGATAAAGACTTATTATTAATTTTAATTACACAAATTTAACTACCACATCTTACTGTGTAGGAATTATATATGCTTTAACATTTTCATTTCTCACAAATAATAAAATTATAGTTAAAATAATCTTTACTAAAAATTCAAATAGAACTTTCTGGTCAGTATTTATGGCTGTTAAGTATAGGGAAAAATAAAATGAAGAAAGAAAATTTTAACCACTTTAAATAGAAACTACTCTCTATTTTGGCTTAGGTATGAGAGATGCAGTCACTCTACCTCACAAAGCAGTAAGTCGATGATGTGGAAGACCATGCAGAGTGGGAATTTGGCTGTAAAAAGAGTGAGGAACCACTGGGAGGCATACATATGAACTTCCAGGTTCAGAACACAAAAATGGTGGTGCAGGTCCGGTAACTGCTCCTAAAAAGTTAAAGTGGAAAATTGGGAAGCTTTATTTCCTCTTACAACTGTAACTTATGACAAGCTTTCTGTGAGCACTCTTGATTTTTTGCATCATTCATTGAATTTTATGTAACTACACAGAAGTGGTGATAGGAGATGAGCATTGGGAGTAGGATAATCAAGGAAAATAAAGGAGACTTGTTATAAACAAATAACAAAGATCACCTCTTGCTCACTTGATTGTTCTTGTTTCTTGGGAAATGCTTACTCTGACAGAACACTCTGTAGTATAATGAATGTCATCCCTCCAGAGTCAAATCTAGCACCTGATCAAATGGATTACCTTACTACCTAGGAAAGAAATATATCCTCTCTTTGGAGACCACTTAATACCAACACCATCTGGGATCTATGATATCACTTCAGTATATTTTGGGGGTATTGAGAAAAGCCCAAAACATCACCAGACTTTAAAACAATCTATTTTTGACATTAAAAATGACAAACTATAGAAATCATGCAAGTATATAATGCAGGAAATTGGATGTCTCCTATTATGCTACCCTTATCCTTTGTTTCCCAATTTACACAGGTAAATGCTTTTCAAAAGCATGAAAGGTAAAGGGCAGGGTATTAGCAAAGCTATTCCTATAACTGAAAAGCAAAGACATCTAAAAGCCAACATTAGTTTTGTTTTCATAAACATCATAAAAACAAAAAGAAGGGATCCCTGGGTGGTGCAGCGGTTTGGCGCCTGCCTTTGGCCCAGGGCGCGATCCTGGAGACCCGGGATCGAGTCCCACGTCGGGCTCCCGGTGCATGGAGCCTGCTTCTCCCTCTCCCTCTGCCTATGCCTATGCCTCTGCCTCTGTGTGTGTGTGTGTGTGTGTGTGTGTGACTATCATAAATAAAAAAAAAAGAATTTAAAAAAAAAAAAAAAACAAAAAACAAAAAAACAAAAAGAAAAACCCTACTTCTTGTACAAAATGCTTTTTGAAAAGTACCCAAAGTTACCCATCAGGTACTTTAAATGGGGTGTCCAAAGGTCATCCAGTCAAAGATTGCTGATAGAAGAATGTGTTTGGATTTTTTCATAATACCATGAACTTGCTATTCATTTATCAGGTACATTTATTTGACTCCCAAAGCTCTTAAGAATACTGACCTTCAAAAAAATGTAAACTTTTGTAAATAAAAGGTAAAAAAGTGAATAATCTCAAATATTTACTTAGACCTCTAAAAAAGAGCCCACTGCTTTCAATATCCATAGTTACCAGATTCTTCTACATAGTCTTTTTTCTCCTTGATGCCCATATGTCATTGGGTTTATAGTTCATTTAACATCTTTCCCATTTCTTCTTTTAGGTTTTCTACCCTCCAACATTCTCTTCTCCCAGTAGAGTTTAAACTCACTGCTAATCTGTCTTCTCTGTTCTAGTCTTTTAGTCTCCCATTGACTCCACTTCCTCTTCAGACACCTACAGAGCTCTGATAGATCAGGCCAACAAGCTCTTACCATTGTCTCTACTGCCATGACCCACTAACCTTCCTCCTTAACCACTTTACCTTTCCCCAATGTGCAATCTATCCACTCATGTATTTACTTCACACTTCTCTTGGGTTCTCAAACCTCCTACAGAGAAAGCCATATAAACATGTTATATAGACCCATTGTAAATTTAAGATTTCCAACTTCAGGTGGCATTTCAAAGCTACTCAGTAATTCCTTTTATCAGCACTAGTCAAAAATTTTGCCCTTGCTCACAATCTTTCTTATTATGTAATATTTGACATATATAAAATGATATGTTCCTCATACATATAAACTTACATATTATAAAACAATAACATTGTTTGAAATCAAGAAATTACATGAGAAAAAAATTTATTTTTTATTTTTTTTTGAGAAAAAAATTTAAATATGTCCTCACATTAAAGTGTTTAAGTGTTATTCTTTTACAATTCTTTTTCTATTTCTTTCAAGAGTTCTCTACATGTGGCCCTAATTTTGGCACTAGTGATAATTACGGAAGGGAAAGTTCTTAAGTATTTCAATTTTTATTCTGTAAATATCTTCATTTCTTTACAAACAATACCCAGAAATCTCTTCATAGACTTAATTCACTATATTCACACTTCAAAGTATATTAAAATTGAATATTTACAATGGGAAGCTATTTTAAAAATGATCAAATGGTTAAATAAATATTAACACCAATGCAGATACTGGTCAGAAACCAAATGTATTTACATTTTCTGTAGAATTCCATTAAACTTTCATGAATTATTATTGTTCATCAATTTTATTACTTTTTCTGTAATTCAATCCTTGAGTGGCAAAAGCCTAAATTTTATTTACCTGTATTAGTTTTTCCAACTGATAGAACTTGCAATGAAGATCTTCAAAGTTGTTTTTGTAGAGATCTCGTAAACCATAGTCATACATGATTTTCACCAAAACACAAAATGCTTGTTCCTCTGGCATCTACAGGAAAATAGATTTATATAAAACATGACTGAATGGCATTTGGCCAGAATGTCAGAAAAGTTCCTTCCTGTTATTAGTCCTCTGCATTAATAGCTAATTTCCTCAGAGCCAGCCCTCTGCAGGAATATTGGTAAAATTTGTGTTGAAACCTTCCAGCTTCCTTACTGGACATGAACTTCACCCTTTTGTGAATTTTAATCATCCTGTTAATTCATTCATTAAGCCATATTTTTTTTTTAAGATTTTCTTTATTTATTCATAGAGATGCAGAGAGAGAGAGAGAGAGAGAGAGGCAGAGACACAGGCAGAGGGAGAAGCAGGCTCCATGCAGAGAGCCTGACGTGGGACTTGATCCAGGGTCTCCATGATCATGCCCTGGGCTGCAGGCAGCGCTAAACCGCTGCGCCACAGGGGCTGCCCTCATTAAGCCATCTTAAAAATAGGTAATACAGTCACATGATTTAAAAAATCAATACAATGCAAAAGTATGTAAAGGTAAAAGTCTTACCTCTGTATAATAATTCCCAGACCTGATCCCCACCTCTTTGGCATAATCCTGTAACTACGCTCAATAATTTCTCAGTATCCTGCTAGTGTTTTTTTATGCAATTAAAAGAATCACTTTCTTTTTATTTTTTCCCTTTCCCACATAATATTCTATATACATTATGATGCATCTTGCTTTCCCCCTGCTCAATAATATTACCCAAAGAGGGATTTCTGGATCAAAGGATAAATGTATTTTTCATTTTGATAATAAGGTACTGTCTTCCCATGGTCATCTTGATGTTGTTGTTTTCTTTCTACACAAAGTTTTTAGGAAAGAATTTTATGAACTTTTATCATTAAGAGTTAAATGGCAAAATCTAATATACCCCTCCCAGAGGCATTTAATCTGAACAGAGAATGAAATCTAAAATCCAAGGAACAAATCTCTAAATTGTGATATCAATAAACTGAAGGGATTTAGAAAGATACATATCCAATATTCTAGAAATTACATCAAGCAAATAGAAAAAGATTTTATCTTTAACTCAGTGTCCTAAGATGTTAACTATTATGTAAACATTCATTTTTTTAATAAAGATTTTATTTATTTATTTATTTGAGATAGAGAGCAAGAGAGAGAATGAGCACAAGCAGCAGGGAGAAGCAGGCTCCCTCCCCGCTTAGCAGGGAGCCCGACTCAGGGCTTGATCCCACGACCCTGGGATTAGGACCCTGAGACCAGGACCTCGAGTTCAGGACCTGAGCTGAAGGCAGATGCTTAACTGCACCAACCAGGGACCCCAGTAAACATTTACTTTCAATATCACTTCTTTGAAAGTCTGACCTTGGATGATTATGGTATTAGACTCCTTTCTTAGACTAAATTCCAACCCAAATAACTGAATCAAGTAGAGTTCTATTTACTCACTTAGAAATGTAACTGTTTTTTAAATTTCCTACACAAATTGGCCACTTCTAATTCTTCTAATAAACCATGAAATACAGATTAATTAAATAAAACCTCCTAAAGTAAGTACACTTAGTTGTCATTTTTTTTAATAAATTAATTTTTATTGGTGTTTGTTGTCATTTTTTTAAAAAAGATTTTATTTATTTATTCATGAGAGACATACAGAGAGAGAGGCAGACACAGGCAGAGGGAGAAGCAGGCTCCATGCAGGGAGCCTGACGTGGGACTTGATCCTGGGTCTCCAGGATCAGGCCTGGGCTGAAGGTGGTGCTAATCCGCTGAGCCACCAGGGCTGCCCAGTTGTTGTCATTTTGATTCTCTAAACATTTGTTTATTTCTTTTTTACCTATGAGGTATTTGGGGCTTTGACCCCAGGTGTTCAATTCAACAAGTATTTTTCAGCTTATACTTAGAATACAAGTGCTCTGTATTCTTCCTCCCCCAATAGTTCTGTCATTGAAGCTTCAAGTGACACTAATTTGCATATGCATGGTATACTACTCTCACCACCATGGTCTAAGCCTCTCCTACTTCCTCTCAGATCTCTATTAAAATGGTCATACAAAAGCGCTCTTGTAAAATAACCATAGCCAGGACTAGAGAACCAATTCGCTTATTTTTTTCTAAGTGAATGATGTTTAGTTGAATATTTTATCATTTGGTGACCTATAAAGGGGATAAACCTTTACTGCCTTGCATGGGTAAAACCATTAAAGCAAATAAAAGGTTTAAATGCCTTTTAGTATTCATACATGAACATGAGAGATGCATGCACTGTGCTAGGCCCTGTGGATATAAAAGTAGTGCTATCGCATCTTCCCAAAGGACTAGTAAATAGGCAACTCTCCTTGACTTTGACATTGACACAGAAATCCTGGGATATGAGAGGTAGGATGTGTAGATGAGGAGTTAGATATCACCACAGTTAGAGCACAAAGTAGAAGAATGGCTGGATATGACCAGGGCAAATTAGTCAGGAAAATGATAAATGAACATAAATCTCTGCTTTGCTTTTGGGTATGGAGCTTAAATTCTCCCTCCCTCCATCTCTCTATCTCCATCTTTCTCCGCTCCCTTCTCCTCTCTCTCCATCCGCTTCTCTCTCACAAACAATATATCTAATACATGTTCTCCAAAAACAAAAGCCTTTGTAAGTTTGAACTTGATCACCCCAAATAAAATGGACAATCCCAGTCTATAACCTTCATTTTAAAAAAAATTATATTTAAGAGAGTTAGGAGTCTTAGAGCTATTATCCTTCATGTCTAGCTTTAGGCAATGTAATCTCAAAATGATGACCACAATAGATTAGTTAGCAGATCCATCACCTCACACAGTTACAATTTTTTTTTGTGTGTAGTAAACACTTTTTAGATCTCTCTTGGCAACTTCCAAATATACAATACAGTATTGTCAACTATAGTCACAAAACTGTTACATATCCAAAACTTACTGATTTTATATCTTAAAGTTTGAACTATTTCTTTTTTTTTTAATTTTTTATTTATTTATGATAGTCACACACACAGAGAGAGAGAGGCAGAGACACAGGCAGAGGGAGAAGCCGGCTCCATGCACCGGGAGCCCGACGTGGGATTCAATCCCGGGTCTCCAGGATCACGCCCTGGGCCAAAGGCAGGCGCCAAACCACTGCGCCACCCAGGGATCCCCAAGTTTGAACTATTTCACCTCACTTACCCCACTCACCCATTTCCCCCACGCCCTGTGGCAACTTACAGACTATTCTCTTTTATGACTTCAGTTTGTTTATATTCCACCTATAACTAATATACAGTATTTGTCTTTCTCTGATTTATTTTACTTAGCATAAGGCCTTTGAGGTCCAATCACGCTGTCACAAATGGCAAGATTTCCTTTTTTATGACTAAATAACATTCCATTATATGTATATACATTATATGTACCTATTCACTTGCTGATGGACACTTAGGTTGTTTCCATGTCTTGTCTACTGTAAATAATGCTGCTATGAACATGGGGGTGCTAATATCATTTTGAGATGGTAATTTCATTCTCTTTGGATATATACTCAGAAGTGGAACTGCTGGATCACATGGTAGTCTATTTTTAATTTTTCAAAGAACCTCCATACTGTTTTGCACAGTAACTGCACCAATTTACATTCCCACCAACAGTGCACAAAGGTTCCCTTTTCTCCACATCCTGCCAATACTTGTTACCTCTTATCTTTTTCATAATAGCTACTCTAACTGGTTTGAGGCAATATCTCATTGTGTTTTTGTTTTGCATGATGATTGATGATTCTGAGCAACTTCTCATATACCTGTTAGATTTTGAATATCTTCTTTGGAGAAATGTCTACTCAAGTCATCTGCCCATCTTCTTACTGGGTAATTTGGGTTTTTTTCTTTTTCCTCTTGAGTTATAGGAGCTCTTCATATATTTTGAATATTAGCCCTTCTCAGATATGTGATTTGGAAATATTTTTTGCCATTGTGTAGACTGCCCTTTCATTTTGTTGATGTTTCTTCTGCTATGCAGAAGTTTTTCAGTTGATGTAGTCCCACTTGTTTATCTTTGCTTTTGATGTCATAATCAAAAAATCATTGCCAAGACCAATATCAAAAAGTTTTTTTTTTAATCTATGTTTACTTCTAGGAGGTTTATGGTTTCAGGTCTTACATTCAAATATTTAATCCATTTTAATTTTTATGAGAGATGCAAGATAGGGGTACATTTTTATTCTTTTGCATATGGCTGTTCAGTTTTCCTAACACCATTTATTAAACTATTTTTCTTTATTAAATACTATTAGCTTCCTTGTCAAATATTAGTTGTATATATATGCATAGATTTATTTCTAGGCTCTCAGTTCTGTTCCACTGGTCTGCATATCAATTTTTATGGCAGTAACATACTGTTTCAATTACTACAGTTTTGTAATAGAGTTTAAAATCAGAAAGTGTGATACCACCAGCTTTGCTCTTCTTTCTCAGGATTGTTTTGGCTATTCAGGGTCTTCTGTGATTCCATGCAAATTTTAGATTGTTTTTTCTAATTTTGAAAAACTGCCATTGGGATTACACTGAATCTGTAGATGGACTTTGGTTAGTATAAACATTTTGACATTACCAATTCATCTGATCCATGAGCATGAGATAGCTTTCTATTTGAGTTGTCTTCAATTTCTTTCATCAGTGTTTTGTAGTTCTCAGTGTATAAATAATTCACCTCCTTAATTAAATTTATTGCTAAATATTTAATTCTTTAATACTATTGTAAATGGGATAGTTTTATTTCTTTTTCAGATAGTTCATTGTTAAGCATATAGAAACAGAAGTGAAGTTTGTGTGTTGATTCCATATCCTGCAATCTTACTAAATTTGTTCATTAGTTCTAATAGTTTTTTGGTAGTCTTTAGGGTTTTCTATATATAAGATCATGTCATTTGCAAAAGAGACACTTTCATTTTTTTTCCTTTCTGATTTAGATATTTATGATTTCTTTTTCTTGGCTGTCTGCTCTGGCTAGGATTTCTAGTACTATGTTGAATGGG